CTGCCAGCACCCTCCAAGCCTGTGAACCCTGAGATGTCGGTATCAGAGGCAGCACAGTGTGTTGACCCAGAGAAAACAGAGAGCAGCTGCACTGTTCACAGAGCGTGTTCCTGGAACAGCGTGCAGATGTCAGCGCATCTCCATGGAGACTTTGTCCTCATCTCCCCCAAGTGTTTGTCTGCAGGACAGGAGCACGAAAGGACAAAGAGAGGTATACCTCTGACATTTATCATCGAGGACCATGTGGACTCACAATACAAGAGCCAGGGTGGGTGGCGACAGTGGGGTTTTCCCTGCCTGGGGGTGAATGTAATAATAGGGTTCGTGGGTGTGCTCTTCACCTTTGTGTTACCTCTAAACCTCAGTGTGAACATTCTTCTGATCAGGACTATAGAGACTCTGTTGGAGCTGTGTATCAAATCTTTAGTTTCATCTGCAGCAAACACAAACAAGATATCCACCTCTCACAGTGGAACGCTTGTATAAAACCAGACTGGTGGGAAGCAAAAGTGGACGCTGATTAAAGACTATTTGCAACGTGATCACCAGATTAATATTGCATGTGTGCAGACAGCAGGTCTACCTGTCAACGTTGGTTTGAATAGAGGGTAAATAAGCATTTCGGAGCAGCTTGCATGTGAGGACTAATATGTGGAAACTGCTGAAAGGTGCTGAGGAGGCAGGTTGAGGCGTGCTTGGTGGGAAGACACTAAACCTGACTGAAACAGGCGGCTGGAAGGCCTGCTTTTATTGCACAGAGCCTTAAGATCTGCAACAATTTGTCATTACACAACAGGTTATAGAATGAGCCTCTCCAGTTTAAATAAGACTAATCCAGGGGCAAACAGTGTTTTGGGAGTAGTAATATGAAGTGTTCTGATGCTGACATAAACCATGCATACGGCAATGTATAAATAAATACTGAGTCACTTAAGGGTGTGTCACAGTTTGTTTTTCTTCTTGGTAGTTTTGTCTTTATTCTGAAATCAGCTGGTTTCAAGGGATTGTACCACTCCTCAGAGGTGAATGGTAACTAAGTACATTTAGTCAAGTATTGTGCTTAAGTCAGATTATGAGATACTTGTTCTTTATTTAAGTATGTCCATTTTATGCTAGTTACTTTTAAGATTCTACATTTGTTTCCAACATTTTTGGCTTGTGACAAAAAAGCAGCCTCTGGTTGGGACCCCCATTTCAGATGCCTGTTAGTTGTTATGAGTTCTACCAAAAAGAGATTTCTCCTCTGAACTTCTCAGATAGTTTTGCTGAAATACCTGTTCAAGACCAGTTTGCATAATTTATATATATTAGTCACAGCATCATTTTTTCTGCATAACAAGTACTTTTACTTATCATACTTTATAATATTTCTGTCCTTTATCTACAGTAAGAAGGGTCTTCACGTATATTTGTATTGTTGTATCGGTACTTTTACTCAAAGCAAAAGTTTGACATTTTGAGAAATACAGTTTGTTTTCTTCTTTTGCAGAGATTAAGATGAGAAGACTGATATCACTCTTATCTCTACTATTACATTTAGACCTAAGGCTACAGCCAGCAGCCAGTTATCTTAGCTTAGCATAAAAACTGGAAACAGGGGGGACCAGCTTGCCTGGCTCTATCAAAAGGTAACAAAACCTCCTCTAAACCACATCCAAAGACAGCTAATTAACACTTTAACACACTCTGTTGTATAATCTGTAAAAACTTGTTTTTACACAGGGACTTCCCCAAGACTGGTGGTTGCCTGGCAACCGCACTGTAATGGCAAGTCTCCAACAAATTATTCTAACAGCTATCTACTGCACCGGCCAAAAACAGTGAACTAAACTAAAGTTTGTCGCTGTTCTACTTTGGTATTTGAATTGTTAATACAGAAACTGGAAACAGCAAATCATGCAGAAGACTTGCCTTGTACTCATGTAGAGACAGATATGCTCCCATCAAGCCTGAGGTGACAAGTGTTGAAAGGTGTGCAGGGACACAGATGTCAACACCAGAGGGCACTCTGGTACAACAATTCAGAGCAGACTGACACCAGAGACCTGGCTTGAAGCTCCTAAATGTTTGATAGATGAGCTTTAGGAAGTAACAGGAGAGGGATGAAGGGGAATCAAGAAACAAAAGAGGGCATTTTTAGGTTATCTTACCTTTGATGGAGCCCGAGGGCTTAGTGAGCGGCCTGCACACCTCTTCATTCAGGTGCTGAGACCTGTGCAGACAAATACTTCAACCTCAGCTCACACTGACTTTGGAAAGATTAAACAGGAAGGCCACGCTCATGCTATTTTAGGATAGACGGATATACTGTTAATGCCCTGATGTACCCAGAGGCAAATTATTGCTTCATAACTGTAAGATCAAATGTTGTGCTGACGAGTGTGTGAACAGACTAAAGGTTAATGAGTGTGTCTTTGAGATTTTTTTGTTTTAATTAGGGCATGATGACATTAAGAGGAAATATCTTAAGTTTCTATAAGTTTCCTGAAGTTGTTACTATTCAGTGCAGCGGCTGTGCTCTGTGTGTAATTTCCTTACTAATGGTGTTTCATTTTATTGCTTTAACAGAAGACACACAGAGTGATTTAACTGCTCGCAGATTAGTAATCTTCTGATTCACCTTCATGTGACTTCTTTCTTTTCAGCTTTCTGAAGCAAGTCCCTTGTTCAAAATTTTCAGGACTATTCTTGTAATTATTCCAATATTTGGACGTGTTTTGATTTAATTTAAAATCTTTATTCTTAATCAACCCGTTAATCATTTTTCAGCTTACTTAACACTGTTCAATATAACAAAAAATCCTAAAATCCTAAAACTGCCAGCCACGTCAAGTTTCCGGAGCCCAAAGTGACATCTTCAGGTTGCTTGTTTTGCAACTGCAGCTGCCCAAAATTCAATAAATCCTTTTCAGAAATATAAAAGAGAGAAAAACATTACTATTTAAAATTATTATAATACTTAATCTAATACATAATCCTGTAACATGTATAACAATAGAGACGGTAGATCTGTTCCTGCCACTGGCATTACAGCTGCAGCTCAGTTCTTTAACTGTAAGTGATGGTAGAAATGAGCCTTGATTTCGGCTCTTTCCATCAAGATTAAAAACCTTACACTCCTGCCTCAGGAGACCCACATCAGTCTGGAATCAGATATAGGTCTCTCAAAGGAGAGCTCAGTGACTTTCTAATGGACACTTTCCCCTCAGGTAAAAATGTCGATTACAGGATGGACACCTTCTCCTAAGATAAAAATGTCTCTCTCAAGAGTGAGAAGAGAAAAGTGCCTTGAATCAAAGCTGAGGATATGAAGCCATTTGTCCTCGGGGTCTGCTGTGAAAAGACAGCACTCTGCTTCAAACTGCAGTTTGTTGTGGAACAGCTGTAATCATGATGCAACAAGACCCAATTGCTTTGGAGTGTGAAAGAATAAAGCAAAGTGTACAAAGTTACAAAAAACACAACTTTCTGGGTTCCTGGCGCAGTGTATGACTCAGATCTTAACTTTATATCATGATTTCAAACGGCTTGACTATTTATTCCCTCCAGTTTAACAACCAGTCATTAAAACGCGTCACAGATGGCAAATGAAGAGGACCTATTGAAAGCAGCGGCTCACCCGCAGTGAGAGAACACTGAACCCATGCAGACATCTTTTTTATTCTTCATGTCACACGCCTGGGCCTCAGCCTATGCCAAAACGGGGAACAGTCATAAAAAGAGTGCGCAACCTCCCACCTCCCTGCTGGATGGCTTAGCATGGCTGAGAGTTTGGCACATCTCAACTAAAATGTCTGGCATGAAACTCTTACTGAACTGGAGCAGGTATTGACAAGCCTTCCTGCATTTCATAGAGGATTTCTTGGCCTCTCAGATATGTTTCCTTTTGCGAGTTTCAGTTTAAACTATGTTGATATTCCTGCTCTCAGTGTAATGTGGTAAATCATGTTCACTCTCTGATTAAAGACTAAACAGTGTTTCAGTATTCAGTATTAAAGCAAATTGACATGTATGCCCCCTACAGCACGTTAACTCATCAACCCTTGGTAAAGTTTTTTTTTTATGAGCCTTCAGCACTTGAAGCAAAGAGTACTTTCTGCCTCCTCAGAAGAAGTGGCTCTACGGAAGGAACTGGCTCTCCATCAACTGCTTTGGTCCGGACTGAAATAGCTCACCAACCATTGGATACCAACTATTGCTTTTAAGGTTTGTGCAAACAATTATGGTAGCATGAATCTTCCTGACTTTGATGGTCCCCTGACCTTCTCATGTAGTGCCAGCAGTCAAAGCATGATCACATTCCCATCAGTCTCAGCTGTGTTTTGTGTGCTAATTAGCAAATGTTAGCATGCCTACACAGTAAACATTAAACCTGCTAAACATCAGCATGTCCACGTTGTCATTGTGCTGACGTTAGCATTAAGCTCAAAGCATCACTGTGCCGATGTACAGCCTCACAGAGCTGCTAGCATGGCTGTAGACTGAGGAGGTAAAAACCATCCAGCCTTTCAAAAGATATGAGATAGGTCTGAAAACATCAGCACATTTTATGTAGCAGATAAATTATTATTTGATCTTTCTTACATTATTAATAACTTCTTAACCACTCAGATCTAGAGTGTGACCCCTTGGAGATTATGAACCCCCGAGGTTGGAAACTAGGGATGCATTGATCGGATATACCGGATCGGTTTCTGCACTAAATGGATCGGGAATTGGCTATGACATGACTTCATCCACATTAAATGTAGAAGAATTCAGTGTTTCCACTATCAGTTACATTCAGTCACGGCTCGTGCAGACTCATGTTACCTCAATAAAAGATGATTCCATTATGTTTCCCACAGAGGAGCGTGCAGATATTAAATTTGGGAAAAAAAGAGAGCGTTGGTGGTGGATTTTTACTCGGTAGCGGGGGAGAAAAAATTGGACTGGTGCATCCTTATTGATGCTCTACAGCCTCTGTGTTGATGCACATCCAAAACCAGGACAAAGTTAAAGAGATTTTAGCAGTAATTTATTGTACATTAAAACATTTCTCACAAACCTCCAGCAGCAAAAGCACACTAGAGTGTGTTCACACAATGATGGGTGCACAGCTGCCATCATCAAAAGACACAATTATCATTATAATCATTAAAAGTGTCATAGTTATCATCATGATCATTTTAACCATTAGCGTCATCACCACCACCAGTAACCCAACACCACGTCACAATAATCTCCTTCTTAATATTCAAACAGAACGTCTTTAATGGAGACAGCAAACTGGGGTCAGATTTGAGCACTTGTTTTAACATGCATGAAGCACCTGCTGGTTGGGATTTACTTCTCAGGGACAATTCATGGGGTCAATTGGGGAGAAGTAAAATTACTAAATACTGTCCTGATTGTCTAAACTTTTTTTTAAATTATTATCTTCACACATATTTATATAAATCCTGTTTCACAAAGCAGGTTTACTGGGTAATCTGGATATATTTGCAGTTTGTACATCCCAGAAAACAGACTGATGTAAAAAGACGTGTTCCAGGTTTTATTCAGCAACATTATTCAGACAACATAGCAGATCTCCTTCTTAAAAACAGACCCCTACAGGTCTGTGCAAGCTAAAACAAAGACCAAGAATAACTTGCAAATGCTCATTTGACCCTCGTTTGTATCGTACTGCAAATACTGGAATCACATCCTACAAAAACAAGGGCACTGCCCCGATTTTCTTTTAAACAGACAACACAGACAACACACGTACGAATGCAAAGATGTACAGTGGAAAATTAAGGGTGAGGTGACTGTTCTTTTTGTATTGTTTTTTGCTGTTGTACATTAACCAAAGAAAAATCTGTTAAGTTCTACCTGATAACAAAGTATTTTGTCATAATCACTTTTGGCCACTGCATGGGTACGCTTTAACGGCCAGATGGGCTTTATCAAGTACAACCAAAGCTGGATTTAAAATTATAGCTGAACCAGGCCGTACAAACATACCCGCACATGCCCGCCCCCCACACACACACACACACACACACACACACACACACACACACACACACACACACACACACACACACACACACACACACACACACACACACACACACACACACACACACACACACACACACACACACACACACACACACACAGCAGTATGCTGGACTTGGCTGAGTGACCGGAGCCTCTTAGATTCTGCAGGACTTGTGTACAACTACTGATAAACAAGAGCCCTTGAGGCACGTGGGGCAAAGAAATAAACATGGGTGAGCCTCAGAGGAATTCTCAGTGATTCTGTCATTATCTAACACAGCAGCAGCCTTGGGAATGCCAGTCTCATAGGAATAGTATATTAGTGCTAAAGTCCATCCATCCATCCATCCATCCAAATTTCCCTTGATAACCATCATTTCCCAAAACACACAGCTCGACTTCATCTACATAAATGATATGATTTTAAATAACATTGATTTTAAAAGAACGACTGGAAACACTGAAGTTGACAAATATCCCACAGGTATCGTATATGCTAAGGGCTAGCATATTTGTGATTTTGGGGGAAAGAGCGGAAGCTTAAACATGAGCCAGCATGATGAGAAAATTCCTTTTAACCCTTAATACTCAAATACACAAACATGCAAGTTCTTACTCCATCAATAGCAGCATATTTCTGGACAATCCAAACAGACTTTCCCACCACATGTGGGTAGGACAGGGCAGTGGATAAGGATGGGCAGCCTATGAACTACTTTTTGATTCGTTTAGTTTGTTTTAAGTGGCATGAACAATCGCTGGTGCACACACAGAACAAGAGCTTTGTGCTACTTGCAATGACAAAGACTGAACAGACATATGTGGATGTGAGCTGCAGAAGGAACCAACATCATGGTCTCGGACAGAAATAAAACAGACTCGACAAGCTCAGGGTGGATTGCTGGCCAAACATTAGCCAAAAAAAAAGACAGGAGCAGAGTGCTGTTGATCACGTTCCACACACAAAGCTAAGCCAACTATACAGCACAGAGAAGACAAGTGACCAGTCTTCAGTGTACGCTTGCCTGGACAGAGAGGGGACATCAAGTCTGACGAGGCTGGAGCTTGATAAAGAGGGCAGTGCCCTCTGGGAGTGTGCAAGGTGTGCCTGGGACAGTCACTTTGAGAGGGAAAATCACTTTGTTTTTTACATTTTTATTTTACATCTCTGCCACAGACCCCAGAGGACCCCAGGGTCCCCTCTGTCTCCATTTAGTGTCATCTTCTCATTTAAAGATGTGGAATGAAGCTCAAGTGCAGGCCATTATTGAATGGTCGTTTCAAGTCACAAAAAACAGCGCAGGTTTTAAGAGCAACATCGAGCACAATTCTTGAACTGAAGGAGAGAAATAAACATTTCAGACACCCTATTAAACATTTTTTTAACTGATTTCTTGAACATCTTTTGAAACCTACACAAGTCCTGTGAATTCACCAGTGATGGATTCATCTGTCAGGACAATCACGACCACAGAGGTGTATAGCTCTTAAAGGCGTACAGTGTTGATTCGCAGCGGCTGCACATTCTTGCCGTTGGCATGGCTCTGGCCCGGGCTGAAGTAGGGGAAGACCTTGCCGGGGAATTTCTCTCGGTAGGTGTAGAGCCAGGACATGTCGTCTGCATTGTAGAAGATGAGCAGGCCTTTGGGGTAGTCCAGGTACACCCCCACCTTCTCCAGCTTGCTCTTTACGTTGAGGCGGGTCCAGGGCTCGGTGCAGGCGCTGTATTGGTTCCCGTCGTGCATAACGATGCAGTAGAAGCCCCGGCTGGGCTGGATCTGGATGCTGCCCTTGCGGCTGACTGTCTCGTTTGCCACGCCGATCATCCACTGGGTCTTCTCTGACACCATCACCTCCCAGTAATGGACGCCCGACACAAAGCCCTCTGCGCCCAGAACAGACACCTCCACGTCAAATCGGCGCGGGGAGTCCTGCAGAGGCTGCGGATGGAGATTCCCGTAGGCCACTATGGTACAGTCGTCTGAGAGGATCAGTCTTTGGTGGGCTGTGATAGGGTCGAGGGTCAATGCTGCTGGCACTGAGGAAAACAGGAAAAGGGAGGTGAAGGGAGAGACAGTTTTAGCACAAAGAGTCAGCATTTCTTTCATTTTTCGATTGAACACTGTGGAGAGAAAACAGTCAGCCTCTATAAACCGGCCAGTCATGGATATAAGTAAGTAGAAAAAAACCCCAAAACAAACACATCAATATGTTATGACTCAGCTTGGCCAAACAGAAAAAGCGAGGACTGCAGTGTCATTCTCAGTGCCTCATTTTTCTTTACTGTTGCGGGTGCTGTGTGAACAGTTTAATGCTATGGCAGTGAGTAAACACATCCAGGCTGCTCAGCTACTTTACAGGAGAGGTGGGGTCAAGGTTTTGAACTGATCTCTGAAAAGATTTCATCACAGGCAGCTTATTAAAAACAAACCTGCTGCAGCGGTCATGGGTTCGACTCCAACCTGTGGCTCCATGCTGCGTGTCGTCCCCCTCTCTCTCTCCCCCCTTTCCTGTCACTCTTCAGCCGTGACTATCAGTTAAAAAGCAATAAAAGCCCCCAAGTAAATATATATATATAAAAACTGTCTGGTTGGAAAATATATACTGAAGATTTTATGTTTCGACCCGGAGGTCACTGAAAATGGTTTTGGTATTATTTCCCCAGATATATATGTCTCTGAGGTTTCTGCCTCCACTCTCAAAAAGCAATCCACATATTTGACAAATGAGTAGAGAGAGACAGGAACGGCAGGGGAGAGAGAGGGGATGATATTCAGCAAAGGGCCTCAGGCCAGACTCGAACCCGGGCCGCTGCTCTAAGTACTCAGCCTTGACATGTTGTACGTGCTCTACCTGGTGAGCAACCCGGGAGTCCCACAGAAAACGTTTTTGACATCCATCGCTCGTCCGACTCAAGTCAAGTCAATTTCATTGATATGGCGCATCACAAATCACAAATTTGCCTCAAGGGGCTTTACAATCTGTGCACATACAACACCCTCTACGCTTAGACTCTTGATCCGAATACGGAAAAACCCACAAGTATCACAGAACAGACAGAGTGCCATTTTATGAAATGTATCAATCCACACTGATGCTACAATAACACGGTATGTATGTGCCTTAGACTGCAATTACATTACAAGTGTCCAGGTGATCGACCTCACTGTGGAATCAATGAAATATTCCCTCTGTGTATTATCCAGAGTAAAGACATTGTTAATGAAAATAAATGTTGCTGTATTCCATAAAGATTTTATTCACCACCATTGTTTTGAAGTGAAGACAGATATCTCTAACCTGGACAAACAAAACCAACTCCTTAATGCTGGGATCTCAATACCAAAATACAACCAGAGGAAAGTGAGAAAATAGGTTTTTCGCAATTGTGTGAGCGGAACCTTAAGACCAACAACCAGGTGGAGATATTACAATACTTCCAGACTTAGAGGAGGTGATCAAAGCCATGCCCTGTGGTGACAGATGACTGATGTTATGTTATTATACAGCACACCCAACTGCTGCTCGACTCCAATTTTGGGAAAATGAAACATGGGAGTTGTGCAACGAGTGCGACTGCGTGTGAGTACACCGCAATACTTTTTTTTTTAATAATCTGTTTTTACCTTTGTGCATATAATACAGTCTTCAAAGTCAAGTGCTCTCCAGAGTCTGATAGGGTAGCTCAGTTTGAGCAATATCAGACCACGCGAAGAGGGCAAACAATACAGTGAAGCAGTAATTACAGTGATGGGAGGAGCTGCTCCGGCTCGCTCCACAGGCTACAGGTCGGTAGGAGGCTGTTTCTCTATGCAGTTATGTGGTTTTTTAGGGAGGGAGTAATCTGCACCCACGTCTGCTTATTAGGGAACCGTATTAGGCTGAACAATAAAGGCTTGTTCTCTTCGTTCTCTTTCACATAAAGCAGAGTGGGGAAGAAGGCATTTTTCCAGATCCTCTGTATCTATACCAGCTGGGAGAACTAGAGGTGAAATGTCTGGAGCCTGGCCAGCGGACAGGACAATGCCTTCGCCAGTCAATGACATCTCCAGTGTTTGTTACAAACAAGTCATTAAAATTTCATAACCTGAGTGCCTCTTTTGTGTCAGAGAGAGAAGCCAGCAAGCGTACACACATCAGTAGAGAAACCATCTTTCCTGCTGAATGTGAGAGGGGGGAGGAAAAAAAAGCCTGGTAGTTATTCCCACTAACCCATCAGTGACAGCGAGGGATGAGGGATGATGGGAGGAATGTCTTTATTTCGTCTCTGGCAACCGCTGGTGATGGATCGTAACCAATTGTTCCATTTGGCAGCCAGTCAAGGGAGGCCAAAAGACTGCCTGGCCTCCCCTCAGCCGGCAGCGGGCTGAAATGGGAGAATTGATTGAGGGAGTAAAAAATTCCTCAGCACATTATTTTAAATAATCTCCTGTGAGTGAGTGATGGCTGTAGGGCAGAGGGAGTAGAGCTCCTCTTGGCACTATCAAAAACAGAAAGGCATCACTACCTTGCAGGTCCGACCACCATCCAGAAAGGGAAAAAAAGCTCAAAGCATCCCAGAAATCCTAATACAGGGCAAACAGACTAGTTCCTGCACTCTGTGTGAGGGAAAATTAGATAATCAACCAGTTTTTAAAGGAATAGTTACACAGCTTTGGAAAATATGGTTACTCGGTCTCTTGCCGAGAGTTAGATGAGAAGATTGACGCCTCTCTCTTTAAAAATTAAATATAATGATAATAATAATAATAATAATAATACAAAAATAATAACTTTATTTGTATAGCACCTATACAAACAAAATACATGGGAATAAAACAAAGATAATAACAAAAACAACATACAGTTACAATATGAGAACAAACTAAAATAAAACAAGAGAATTCCAGAGCCTCTGGGCCCTGATGGCCCGGTCACCCTTATTTAGCCTACCATAGCTAGTTGTCCCTCAGTTAAGGCTGGTAGAGGATCTCAGGTCATGGACTTTAAGCTGAGGATGACTAAGGCATGTAAACTGCAATAGTCCAGGCACAAGAAGACATACAAGTCTGCAGCCAGAAGATGCTTAGCTTAGCTTAAAGACTGGAAACAGGAGAAAACAACAAGCTTGGTTCTGTTCAAAGGTAACAAAATCCTTCTACTAGTACATTTAAAGCTAGCTAATGAACACATTATACCTTGTGTGGTTAATCTGCACAAAAACCAAACTGTAAACAACAATGTTGGGTTTTTGCCACTTGTACATCATCACAGATTAAATAAACAGAAGAGCCATACCATGTTCATTAGTTAATTAGTGAGCTTTAAAAGGCTGCTGGTAAGCACATATTGTTACCTTTGGACAGAGCTAGGTTAGCTTGGGTCAGCCTTTATGCTAAGCTATGTCCTATGTTTAACAGACAGACATGAGAGTAGTAACGATCTTCTCATCTAACTTTCTGCAAGAGCATGTTTGTTAAACTATTCCTTTAACACCTGCAATGCTGAAGCTGTACATTTGCTAACCAGCATGTTCGAGTTAAATCTCACGTTCCAGTCATGTTCACATACCTGGTGAGACATCCTGGAAGAGCAACTTCCATATTGTGTACTGCAAGGGCCCCATGTACTTGGATGTCGGGAAGTCTTCATACGTCAGATTGGTCTCATGTATCTTCCCTTTAATCCTGGGACAGAAAAACAGATCAATAACAGTCTAAATCCAATTTGCTGCATTTTCCAAAGAATGCTGCCTCTTGTTCAACCCACAATGTCGATGCTTCAAGTAATTATTCTGGCTTGTGTCACTGAAATGTGCCATTATTGACATTTACCAGCTGACAAACTGCTTCATGAATCTCCAGAAACAGAGATGAATGCATCAGTGAGAAGGAGAGGGCTCCACTCTAACACCATTGCAATATGATTCAATATGAACCTCCACATGAATCACTCAGTGCACTCCTACATGTAGTCCAGAGTTCAGGCAAGACGCTGAGTGGGTTGCTTAACACACTGAAATCCTGAACAGTAGAGTAGGCTGAATAAGGGACCTTATACATTTGTGCAGAAACATCAGGTTAAGTGTTAGGAATGAAGATAAATTCATATGTCAGTGTTTATGTAAGTACCATTCATTGGGTCCAATTCCAACAGTACAAGTTTTGTTCTTCTGTAGAAATTCAAAAGTGTCACTTAAGGACTAAGGAGTTAATAAAAAAATATTTTTCCAAGTTCCTGGGTACCCGTGTTAACTTTTAACCTTTTGTTATAAGTAAAATGTATTGATAAAATAATATTTACTATAATAAATAAATAAATAATGAATTGAATCTGTATAATATATAAAAATCTCTTTTCTCTTCCTGTGAAACATTAAAATATACATACATGTATCCAATCAAATGGGATTTGGGGCAACTAGCTAACTATGCTCATCATATAAAACTCAACAGGCTTGTCCAAAAATGACGTAGAAATCTTTGGTTGAATAAAAAAATAAAATATATATATATACTTGATACATATACATATATATATATATATACATATACATATAGGAAATACTTGTAACAGTTCTTGACAGTTTTCAATATCCAACACAAATGCCACATTTCTGTACTTTGAGAGTCTCACTTTGAGAGACTGTTGTGGCTGAGTGAACATCCATCCATCTAATCCACATTTACAATCTCTTTTCATCCATCAGCATCCAACTCCAGTTTAGATTAAATAAAGCTTGTACCAAAAGAATTTTAGTATTTTAATTTAAAAAACCCTGTGGTATTTTGTGAAAACAATGTTTGATTCTGTCACTCTTGCTAGCTTTATATTCAACCTCATTAATCTGCTGTAAAATATTAAACTGTTCAATTAAATCGTCCTCAAGTTCTCCTCCCAGATTAAACAAAACAGCTGGTTTATTTCTGGCCTAATACACCATCTGTTCAGGGATTAGCTGACGCTGTTGCTCAAATCTGTACTTTCTCCAAAATTTAAGCAACCTTACGTTCAGCAAGAGCAGAACACACAATTGGCATGTTGTGAGGTATTATTATATACATGCAATTTTAACAGCAAATATGTCACAGTTCAAGACTTTAAGAGTTGATAAAAACCTGATCCTTCTTGCCAATGTGTTTACAACCACATTTCTTTTCTTATTGGACTGCAGTGATGATAGTGGAACTGTTTTAGCAAACTCGGGGCAGTTGAAGCACCTCTCAGACGTGACGGCTACTCCCTCCAGGAAGTCGTGTCGTCCTGTCTCGTTGAGGCGCTCCTGCAGGATCTGGATGCCCTCCTTGACGTCACGCAGCTGCTGGCTGTAGCGCTGGATCTTGTGTTCGATGTCGGACAGCTTGCGGGCCGTGTCCATCTCAAGCTCTTCCAGCATGCTCTTTTGACGCTCCCGGAGGAAGCGGTGAAGGCGCTCGAACGCGTCTCCAATGGTCGCGCGTAGACTCTTGGCTGAGGACTGAAAGGAAGAGGGAAGAGCTGGTTTACTTACTGTGAGAGAAAGAAACAACTAAACAGATCACCCTCCGCTGGGGCTATTTATAACTGCCATTAAAGGACTGTGAAATAGACTTTGTACTGTAGTAAGCTGGGTTTATTGAGAGTTTCAGTCACAACAGCCTGACTCTTAATTAGACACGGGTCAGTAATTCAACAGCTTACAAAAGTGCTCTAAATTGTGTTAATATTACATTAACATTCATTCATTGATTCAGCTTGTACATGTATTGATTTTAAGAGGCTCTCTGAGAACATTGTGCGTGCAACACTCCACTGAGACAATAAACTAGCTTTTACACTGGTTTAGTGAGGAGAAACAAACAAGAGCCCACTGTAACAAAAATAACCCCCAAAAGATGACGATGATGAGGACTGGGTCGCTAAGGGCATCCGGTGTGTGAAGACGGCTGATTACGAGACCGTTGGACGGGCAGAGAAGCTGAAGCTATCGATAAGCAGTGGGACAGCAGACAGAGCTGATTTGTAGCTGAAGAGGAAAAATAGGGAGGTGGACAACAAAGAGAATGCATCATCTGAGTGTTGGTCTGAGTGTCAGAGAGACAGAACAAAGGGGGTTGATGTGGAAACCCCGTAAAAATCGCAGAGACGAGCAGGACCCTTTCAAGTTGAAGCTTCTGAGAAAAGCAAAGACTGGGCCTCATTCAGAACCTGTCCTCATTTTACTGATAAATTTCTTGTGTAAACTCGTGTTTGTCCACAGATTCAAAATAAATCCAAGCATGTGTTCATCAAAGAGCAGCTCAGAACAAGAGGAAATTAATGACTACTGACTCACAGCTAAATTGATCTAAAAAGAATTTCAGATGAAACTGAATGTTTATTTTATCTGCTGGGAAATCCAACCAGTCCTCTGATCTTTTCAGGAGGAGCTGGATTTAGGAACTGTGATCTGAGGTTTAATTACACAGCAGGCGTGTTCTTTCAGAGACCAGGGGGAAGGTATTCTCGCTCTGCCTGTGGGAACCTATTCAGATGACTATTTCAAGCAAGCATGAGAGCTATGACATTAAGGTGGGCTGTATCCCTGCCCTCCTGCCTAGTTAGGAATTGAAAACTGACGGTATGGAGGAGGACTAGGAGGAGGGGGGAGGACTGCAGCAGCCCACCTATCAGTCTCTCAGTGACGTGTCTGCTGCTTTGGCCCCGGCAGGCTGTGATGGCACAGAGAGGGTGTCTGCAGCCCTTGGAGACAGGAGGCTGGCTACCTTTCAGGGAAGCATGTGATTATCAAGCGAATCCCCGGTGGGCATGTGAATAGGACACAATGTCTATCCTTCAGACGGAGGCACACACGAGCCAAGGACTAAAATTGGAGTGTAAGGCAGGTGCATACAGTTTTAACGAGACAGGGCTGCTGCAGTGATTCTTTCTCAGTCTTAGTTCAAGAACTCAGTCTAACATTAAACAACGATTTGTTCACAGGTCTTGAGGAGTACTACTGGATATGTGGAAAAAAAGCTTAAAGTTAATAAAAGGCTTTTGTGGCTCCGGGGGAAGCTGTGTGTGAGATCTAATAAACTGCCTCAAGTGACATCACTTGAGTCAGCATCAGCTGGAGCTGAAGACTACACGTTTGAAAGCAGATAGCAGACCTCTGTAGCCCCTCCTCATCTCTTCTTGAGGCTAGCAGCTCGAGACTACATTAGCCACTATTAGCATATCACACCCGGATCTCTGACCGAACTGTCAGCAGTGGGGTTGCATTGTGGGTAATGTAGGTACCAGGTTTTGACAAAGAACAAGAATGCACGGAATTTAAAAAGACGACATCTCTGGTTCTTCTATATTGACTCTGATTTGTTTTGTTTTTTTACTTTTACAGGAATGCAATGCTAAATGAGTGCAGTACTATTTAAACAACAATAAGCTAAAAAACGAAGAAGAAAAAGAACTTCAAATTTAGCAAGATGAAGAAATGCAGGGAGACATTTCATTGTCAGCTACTTAAATGCATCAGAGATCAATGAAGTCACAGCGTGGCTCTCTTCCAGAGCACTCTGTGCAAATGGATGTAAATCTAATGAGATCAGCTGATTTCCAATGAGAAGTGGGGGCGGCTGAAAGGCCTGCATCTAGCAGTCAGAGAGAGTCGATGGACAGGCTGAAACGGACAGGGGCCTGGCTCTGTCTGGCAGCGGAGGGCCCTGCAGTGCAGAAGTCAGGAAGAAGGATGAGTGATGCTGTGACATGGGACAGCAGGTACAAAAACAGGAGAAAAGGGGACCGCGCTCCCTAAATGACAAATAACGCTGACGGCTGCGACATCGTCTCTGCCAGAAACCTTTTTCCTGGTCAATAGCTTCAATGTCACTACAGGAGAGAGAAGAGGCGTGTGTTTGTGGGTGCGTATTTGTGTGTGTGTGTGTGTGTGTGTGTGTGTGTGTGTGTGTGTGTGTGTGTGTGTGTGCGTGCGTGGTGAGGGGGTTGTGGGACTGACATATCGAGCGGATGCTCATGGTTCGTTGATTAAAACAAGGTGTCAAGATTAAACAGGTGCTCAATAAACCAATTTACCTGTCGGAATTTACCCGTCAATCTAAATCAGTCTGGAAGAAAAGAAGGATAATCAGTGACTGAAAGACTGCATACGTTACCACACCTGTCCTTTATTTTCCTGACATTTTTTATTACAACTTATTTGACTAAGTGAGTAATACGGTTTTCATTTGACTGCTTAAGATGCAAACAAGGACGTCTTGTTTCTGTAGATATCCAACACGGTCAGTGACATTTGTTGTTGTAAATAAATTCAATCAAAATAGGAATTCTAACAATTATTTCCTCGTTTCTCAAAGAACTGTTCCATCTGTAAAATGTCAGAATATCAATGAATAATAGTCAACACACTTGTCCAACCAACAGACCAAAACCCTAAGATTAGAGCTAAAACCATTAGTTGATTAAGTGATTAGTCTATTGAAAACAGACCCAGCAGCAGTAGTAGTAGTAGTAGTAGTATTTGTTTTATAATCAATCTGTCTTTTAAGGTTCTTAGAGCTAAAATATAAAATCAACTGGTTCTGTTTTTTTAATTGTGAATATTTTCAGATTTTTTAATATTCTAAGATATGTAAAGGAGTATTTTTGAACTGTTCATCAGACAAAACAAGACATCTGAAGATCTCACTTTGGGCATAATCTCATGTTCATTTTCTGACTTTTTACAAACTAAATGCTTAATTAAGAAAAAAATAATAATAATTTTTATTAATCAATAATTTGAAAATAATCGTTAGATGCAGCTCCACCAAACATTTAGTTTACTATCAACTGAGACAAAAAGCACATGTTCACAATTAAGAAGCTGGAACTTGGGAATATTTGGCATTTTTGCTTGAAGGCTGATAATTAATTATTATAATTATCATTATAGACCCGAGAGCTAAAACAATTAGTTGATTAATTGATCAATTGTAAGCTGTTTATCCAGCAAAAATGCTAAATAGTCCCTGGTTGCAGCTCCTCAAATGTAAAGATTGGCTGCTTTTCTATTTAATATCATTGTAAACTGACTAGTTTTGCACTATTGGTGGGATAAAGCATCACTTCACCTCTGGGAAGTTGTGATTGTGATTCATTTGTTTTCTTTTTCATAAACTATATAGATATTTTAACTTTTTTTTTTTTTAATGAAAAATGTTACAGTACCTTGGTCTCAGTAAGTTGTCTTTGCAGGAGCTGCAGGGCCTCAGTATGGCCCTTCTCACTGTCCTGCAGGGTGGCCAGCTGCTCCTTCATCTCCCTCTGCAGCACAACAAAACAACAACAAACAACAGCTCAGTAATTGGTTATTGGAAGTCAATATCACAGGAGAGACTACATTCAATTAAGCGACGTATTAGGAGGATTTCATTAAATGCTGTATGACGCGCTAAAATGGTGCACTTCTTCTTTGCTTAAATAATGTCTAAAAATAAAAAATAAATAATGATAATATATTTGGCAGACAGACATTTTTGCGAGTCTAAATTGTAATATATTTATTTAAATTGTATTATTTGTGTAACAGCTCTCTCTGCTCGGTTACAAGACAGCAAAGATTTAAGCCTCAGCTACAAAAAAAGCAAGGCAGATGGAGAGCGAGATATGAAAGGGATAAAATGAAATCTCTGGAGATGTTGGGCTGTGTCAGAGAAAACTGGGTCTCATCTCTAGTCAGGCACACACTGGCAGAACCTGCATCGCTCAGCCACCTCCAAGTCTCCCCAAAGCAGGAAAGAGGCTCTGTGGGAGCTGGCTGGGACGGCTGCTGTCACGAATGGCACACAGTTTTTTTATGCAGGTCCCGTGTGTCAACAACATCGGTGCACTCAGATTTAGGTTTTAGGACAGAAGTAGTTCACCAGACACCCTCCCTTAAGTAGAGATTTGTTTATACAAAAAGACGTGAGGATACAAGACTCAAGGTAGGTGCAGCTCTGCACTTTGTACTCTGCTGATGCTTTTACACTGAGTAAATAATGAAGAATGATTCAGTGTGTCACTCAACAACCTGAATCTGTTGATGGGACAAATTGTTATTTAAAATAAATCTAAATTAAAAATGGTGACTTTTTGGGTTACACATCGGTCATGTTTGAGTTTTCATTAGGGTACATGATGTGTTATCAAGTGAGGTTGAAAGAAGATGGAACTTGAGTGCTTTGAGCTAAATATAAGGTTGTCATGGTACCAGAATTTTAAACTTCAATACAATACCATTATAAAAAACAACAACATTGATACCTCTTTCAATACCACAGCAAAAGGAAAAGAAAGTCTCAGGCATGAAAAATAGGATCATTTTTTGCCGTTTGATGAAATTAACAACCTGCACACTGAACACATAATGAGGGATAAGTCGATTTTCTACCCCATTTTTTCCTTCGTGCAGCCTTGGGTTGAAAATCTGATTGTAGATCAGTTCATGCGGTATCGAAACAAATCATCAAAGTATTGATACTTTTGACAACCTTAGCTACATGCTAACATGCAAGTATAATATTTATCATGTTCACAATCATAGTTTAGCAATTTAGCATGCCAACAGTTGTTAAAAGCACAAAACAGCTGAAGTTGATTACTTCGGGTCATAAACAAAATAACTGAAACAACTAGGTGACAGCAGAGCGGATAAAAGAATATTGGTAACAAAGCATGGTGTATTGAAGAAAAGCTGCAAGTCTGACTTATAAACCAAGATAGCAGCACCCCAAAAAAAAAAAAAAACACAGACACAAAAACTCAATACCATGGCCTCAACTTATCCTCCTCCTTTTATAGAGAATGAGTAATCATCGGCAGGTATGTTGAGGAAGTATGAACAGTTACGAGCACAAATATACAAAAGATACATGAAGGACCTTCAAAATACGACCTGACCCAAAGTGATGTGGATTCCGGTTCAACCCAATCCAAGCCTGAACCCTTGCAGACTATTGAAAGCAGAAAGTCTTTTTGGTGGTAAAATAGCATTCAGGGTCTATCTGGAAAAGAGAGTCTGGATTTCTGCTCATTCAAAGCCGTCAGTTCACAATCTCGACTTCATAAAAGACACACAACTGAACATCAGTGGAATTATGCCATTACATACAAATGTAAACAAAAAAATGGGCCTGAAGTACAAACAATTATAGACACAGCTACAAATTAAACAGAAACTGTGTATTGGACAAAAGTTTTGTACATAAAATGACAATATATGTGTGGCAGTAAAAATGGCATCATTTTATCTGCTTTGAAAATTTTTATCAAAAAGGAAACAGCCTGACACAAGCTTCATTTATCTCAAACCCCCCCATTAAGCTACCCCTGCTGCTGGTCTCATTGCCGGTGTAACCTGTGCAACACCTTCTCTGTGATCCACAAAGTGTCACCCCCACTGAACACCAACTGCAGCAAAAAATCCACCAAATGGAACTGTCAGCTTAGCGTGCCAAAGAAAACAACCATCACTCAGCTAGCGGGCTGTAATAAATGCCAGAATAGATCTCCCCTGACAGGAAAAATACATAATAATTTTACCATCTAGTACACAAGAAAAAAAGGCTAAGGTATCAGCCGAAAGGCAAAAATAAGCCATGCATCAATCTGTGATGCATCAGAAAATCCTTGACCTCGATCATTAGCTGCTAAATTGAAAATGAGCAAATGTTGCCTGTTGAAGATGAAGCATGTTTCTTCTCAAGGACAGAAACAGTGGAAAACAATGGTTGGTGCAGTGGGGGAGCGTGACTCTCCATGCTAATGATAGGAGTGCGGCAGGCTCAGCAGGCTTTCCGCCTCATCGCTACACGCTTGTCTGCAGTGGGTCAAAGGCCACTCCCACACACCGAGATGGACCAACACTGACAGACTGGCAGAGAAAACATGCTCCTTCACTCTCCTGCTGCACGTCACCTGACTGAATGGTCAGGGAAGGGCAACTATAACTGTTGCTGTTGCCACGCCAATAGATGGATGCATCAACATGAACCTACACATCTCTGAAAACCCCAAATCACCTGCAAAATAGTTCTTTTAATAGACAGTCTTAGATTTACATTGTCTAGAAGTTCTTGCATCATCCTCCGCACTACAGTGTGTAACAAACTGGATATACCCACTCTGTTCCTGTTACTGAATAGAACTTGACACTAAAATTAAATGCACAGGAGAATGTGTACAGTACTTAAAGCTGAAATTAAGCATTTTAGAAACAGCAGAAATCAACCTCGGTGAAATCATCTTCACACACTTCAAGGCCCTAAAACCTCCTCCATAACGTGCAATTACATAATCCTCTTTAATCTTCCTGGAAGCAAAAACCGTCCTTTGGGTATCCTACAGATGGAGATTTTCTGTGATGACATTTCTAGCAGAAACAGGGAAAAAGCAGCAGCTGTAGTCTACCATTACTCCACATGGGCAAGGAATAAGGATGTGATTCTTAGGTATCAGGGGGAAGTGTGTACATGAGGGCATTATGTGAAATAACCAAAACAAAATGCAGGTAAACGAATGCTGGTATAAGCAGAGACTCTGACAGGGAAGTGTAAGTGTGTGTGTGCGCAGTGTGCAAGTGTGTGGAGGCGTCTCTCTCCTGTCCATCTCATCTGGCCAACACAAGTCTGACATGACATTTCCCCAGGACGTCAAGATGCAGGAAATGGGGGTCACGGCTGGGGGATTATAAATCTAAAACTCATTTCATCCTGCTGTCATTGCCTTCTTCCTCTGCCTCTCCTGTCATGTTAGCAGCTCTGGTAGATATTTACAAGTAAATAACTGAATGAAATAATACGCTATCGGTGCATGTTTCTTCAAAAATGTGCACGGGACTTAAAATCCCTCCAAGTTTCTTTACAGCTGCGAGCTTGATTACATTCAGCAGCTCGTTCAGGATTTAAAGAGCGTTATTGGCTTCAAACTGCCGGCAACGATGAAGAGGCGAACAAAACAACATGCAGTGTCACAGCATGAATAATAAAAAGCCTACAGGGTGGAGAACTTCCTCTCACACACAGACAAGACTGGCTTCCAGTGATTTCATTCACATGCACTGATAACGGGGGAAAAAATAAACACGGAAAAGTTGCACCTCATCTCCTGACTGGGATGCAGAGCCGATATTCTACTTAGACATTATATTTACAGAGGAAGCGCTTTCACCTGTTTATCATGAGAATGGAAACCCTAGCAGCACCCACAACAACTCAATGTACTGCAAATTATTTTCACAAGGACAGTTTGGCGTAACCTTCGTCAAGCTGAGGGTGTAATTCTGTCAGGTAGCAGACAGGGCGGATAAATAGGACACCAGCCAATATCAAAGCAGTGAGAAAACTGCAGCCGTTACAGTCAGGCAGTGAGCTTTATAGACTTGTTCTAATTTAACATGGACCCAGTCTGAAATATGTTGTCCACTCCCAGCTGACGTTTACACCCAGGTACAAAGTCAAAGTGATCAGCCTGGATATTATAAGGGAAGCAACAGACGAGTGTGCACACACAGTATTCCCCCATTAGTGTTGGGCGATACACCTGATGAACGGATATTCCAGTGTGACTTTTTATATACCGCCATACCGTTGCATAGCTGACACAACTGCTGTAACTCTTCAATACGCAACATTATTGTTTTTGCTGCAGGAGCGCAAAGGTCGCCGCATGCTGTGCAGTGTGTATTGAGAGGGGAGTCATACTGCGAACCTTTCTTACTAACGATTATAACTCTATAACAACAATAACCTCGAACTAACCCTTATTAATAAGGCAAACACCATGGCACACAACAATTTATGAAAATGTGCTTCTTACTAGTACATTTGAGAAACTGTTTTTTAAATACTTAAATACTTCTGAGAATTTTATATCAGTATATAAGACAACTTGGCAGTATGTCTCAGGTAAAAATCACCAATTTTATGTGAAATCTGCAGCCTAATATTATGTTACATTATGTTTAATAAGTTGTATACCACAATATCGTTCATCAAATTGCTCTGAAAGTGATCCCAGCAACCACTTGAGTTAGAACAATTTTAAAAATGATACATTTATAGTTATTATTAGACTTTTTGATCTTTATGTGGACGGTCCTTAAGTCTGTGTGAATATGAACTAAATGGCAACAATATATCTTCTTTTGTTATGGATTGATTTAATTCAGAGTATAAAGTGTATAATTGTCTAATATTCACTCCTGTTCACATGTGGGAAATAAAATGAATTTGTTGAACAGCAAGAGGAAAGATTAAACGTCATTATTACTAGATCCAGCTGAG